TATTTTCGCCCGGTTACAATTTTCAACTTTTTCTTTCGATGAGTTGAATGGTGTGCACATCCTTTCAACAGGTGTCCCAGACAGTCTGAGACAGTGTAATGGTCGGCAGCAAGCCAAGTGCAGACATAGACTTGTATTATAATAATATGTTACCCTAGACTGTGCACTCTGGTGTATTTCCGACGTCTACATTCATTTTATTTTCAGAAAAGAGGAACCGGTATACTCCGGGGTTTTTAATTGAAGCATCCCAACTCTGCATGTACCCATTGGACCCAATTTGAGCCAAACGAAAAGCAAAGGGGGGAATGGGTGAAAAAAAGGGGGAGGGGGGAGGGGTGGGACACGTGCACTCGACTGGTGTTTTGTTCTACAAATTCGGGTGTAGTTGCGCGAGCCGTGGTGGTACTCATCTTTCGGAGCAAAGTGCATTGGCGACTAAAAGAAAGGTATCATTTTTGATAAGGTAAAACATTATACTCTTTAGAGTCTTTTCGCTTTTATTTCCACGTGAGTGATACAACTAAGTACCTTAAAATTTAGGTCATATAAGCAAGACAACATTCGCACAGCATAAGAGTTAAAAAACCCCCACGAAAACAACAACGAAATCACATTTTTTCGGCAACATAGCGGATTTTTTAGAATCTTTGGGGGTTTTTTCATGAAGTTTGGTTATGTTTTTCCACACAAAAAACCCCCACAACAAAAACCAAACAAAAAAAAAAACGAAAAACGCGAAAAAAAACTTTTGATATTTTCACCCTAGAAAGATGGTAGGTTTAGGTTACTACCAGAGAAATCGAGCCATCGGCATGCTCTCCTCGTTTTTGCTGTTGCCAGTACATTCAGCGTCAGCAGAAAATCTAACAGTAACAGTGCTTCGTCTAGGAGTAACAAGTCTTTGAGTGCAGCTTATTCCTTCTAAGTCCTTGGAGATCAAGAAAAACATCTAATTAGCTCGTGGGGAGTTCTCAGGGAGATGATACGTAGACTTGTGTACTAATAGTAATTGTGTAGCATCGTGGTGAAATCGGGCGCTCATCTAAATAAAGAAATAAAAGAAACTGGCCTTCTTTTCTTTTGTTGGGCAATTGGCATCTATTTTTTTTTCTGCTCAACACCTCTCTTCTAAAAAAGAACAGCACATTTTTGTGGGAATTTTGCTGAAACAGGTTGATCAAATGTAAAAATAAATAAACAAAAAAGGTAAATTTACAGCTTGCTAGGCCACTCAAACTTTGGATGTCACCAAACTTCAATCTTAAATACATCTACTTTTATTCAAGATAAAAGGGTATTTTTTCATATAAATCTGTAGCTTACTCATGAACAAGCTTTACTATGATGATATTAATAAGTGCATATTATGCTCAAATACTGACGAGAGCCTGGTTCCACCGCGTCGCGATAGAACTGGCTGTCTGACTGTCTGTTTGGCTTTCTGGGTACATGTAGTGTGGCGACGCTTTAATTAAAAACCAGAGTATACCGGTCCTTCCTTTCTAAAGCTAAAATCAATCTAGGCATAGGTGGTCTAGCAGTTAGGCTACCGGACTCAAGGCAGCAAGGTTACGGGTTCGAATTCCGCCCGAGCCGTGCGTTGTGTCGTTGAAAAAGGCACTTAACACCAATTTTCCCTCACTTTACCCATGTGGGAAGGGGTACCCGGCTATAGACAACAGTGCTTATT